AGAGTACTAGCAAGCGTCTTGAAACCTATTTATGTAAAATTTAACATGAATAATAAGCTAAAAATGGGACTTTTTATATATAAATATATGTATAAAATATTCATTTTACATAAATTTACAACTGCATTAAGCAAAAACTATTGCATGTACATCCATGGTTGTAGCTTTGTTGAACGCGTCTTGTTTGTAGCTTTCAAACAAGTGCAAACACTTTGCAATTAACCTAAATAATAACATATAAATACCATTTATTTGTAAATAATGTTATAAAGTGATCATTTTATAAAAGTTTAAGACTGCATTACGCGAAAAAGTATTGCATGCACATCTATGATACTAGCTTTGTTGAACACGTCTCGTTTGTAGCTTTCAAACGAGTGCAAACACTTAGTACGAGAGTAATGATCGAGAGTAATGATCTATATATACAGATTTAATTCAAATAAATCTTTGTACATATTGTTAAAAAATGTTCATTTTTTATATTTTTTAAATTGTCTTTCGCAAAAACTATAGCACGCACAGATATGCGGTAAACTGTGTTAGACGCGCCTTTTCAGCAGCTACAAAATGAGTCAAGAAAACGGAAAAGCAAAAATTTTTTATCTTTATGGTTGCCGGTCCCCTTAAGGGGATCGACCTCAACATACGAAAACTTCTACAGTTATTATCCGATTGTCATGAAACTTCACATACATACGTAAAATGTAAAAAAAACATTTTGCTCCTATGAATTTTTCGAAAAAATTGATAGNTTGGTATTCCTGATTGCAATGGAAGGAGTTTCCATGTCTCAGCTTATGCATCAGTGGTCAGTTTCGTATTTGTGGATTGAATCATTGGCAGTTTTTTGTGTATTTGTGAGTGAATGTACATAGTGAAGATGTTATTCTTTGCAATTTCCATCGATAGTGACATAACTACATTATTGTATTATGCACTTGAAATAAGAAGTGTAGCATTACGCATTAAATTAGCATTAGTGCGATAGAATTGTGTGCATTTGGGGCGGTCCATTCTAGCTTTCTAACGCTGATTGGATTCCAGTGGCTGTGACGTTGCACACGTTCTGATTGCTAATTGAATTCTTGTGACTGACGTTGCACACATTCTAGCAATGAGACATGAGTGGATTCATGTGACTGTGGCGTTGGATGCGTTCAAGCGTTGATTGGATCCTAGTTACTGTGATGATGTGAGCTGTGTTTTTTTTAATGAAACAGCTGTGGCAGCTTGCCACTTGCAGAGACTTGTCAGTGATGAAGATGGACTGAAAGTGGAAGTATGCTGGCCTTTCCAGATTTTTAGGTCATGCTTTCCGATTTGCTATGTTTACCAGTTAATATATTACCCCTCTGGAATTCCACACTGCTGTACTCACTGCAGTGAGTGACATAGAGTGTATTTTCTCGTAAAAAAAACGTGAAGTCACGGACGGACTGACAGACAGACGGACAGACTGACGGATGGAAATGACGAGCACAATAGTACATTTTTCCATAAATGAGAAAATGAGCTAAAAATCTCTGAAAAAAGTGTGAAAAGTCAGATTTTGAAAAAGTACCTACCTCTGCTAAGGTCTGTAGCAAAAAATGTATTTACTGTGTTGAAAAACTTCACTTACATAAAAGTTGCACACAAGTGTTTGTTTGCAAAAGTGGTTGACGGAATTTGCGTTGCTCATTCCAAAAAAATGGTGGTCATTTCCGCATGACTGGCCAATAAAAGACACCCCTAGAATATCATTTACAGAAGAACCTTGGTTAGCAAAGGCTCCAGTTAACAAAAAAATCAATTAGTGAAACGGGCAACATAGAATGAAAATTAATTAACCTAAACAATGATTTATTTCTCCAAAATTATGATGGTTGCCACTTGAATATTCCTTCTTTTTTCAGATATGTTTTTCAGGATCTTTTTCATGTTATAGTGAAATCACTTGACTCAATAAAAATAGGTGCAAAATTTCAAGCCATCCTGTTAGCTTACAGGTACAGAAGAAATGCTATGCGGCAGCTGATATGAAACTTGCAGTGGAGAAGGTTGTTGTCAGTGCTCAATGGCATGTTCATGGAAATGGTAATATCACATCAATAATGCAGTAATGTATGAATAAGGTTATATCATATCAATAAAGGATAAATAAGTAAAAATCACAGAAAAATTTGTTATGAACTGGCCTCTGACCACCAAGCAACCAGTATCCTCACCTAACGGTTCGCATTGACCATCGTTGTCTCACATACCAATGACCAGAAGCTGAATAGGTAAACAGCTGCCCAATTGCCTGCGAAGCAACGCTCGAGGCGGGACAGGATTTATGACCAACAGCAAGCTCCTTAAAGTTTATTAAATAACACATCCAACAAGTAGTCTACTATGGAGCTAAGATGCGGAGGAGAGAGCGAGCGAGCTAGATGAGGGATAAAGTTCTGGGTCCTAGAAGGAAAATGAACATCGTAAGTACACTGGTAATTCAGACGCCTGATGACTACCCTACAAACGCCCTTACATGACACCACATTATTTCTTCATAATATAAGCCACCTATCAGCAAACACACACAAAGGCACAGTAACGGTAACAATAACATGAAATACGGTGACACAAAATACAGTAACAGTATTTAACAGTAACACAAAATGCGGCACACCTAGGCGACTGTAAGGTAATCCCCTGTAAGCGAGGCACCAGTATGCAAGTCGGGATTGACACAGCTACTACTACCAGCCTTGGCCTACATCAGCGCCGGTATACTTAATCTCTCCGGTTTGAATGCAAGTAGGGAATTTGCAGCCTTCATACAGCATTACAATATCATTTATTCAACATCTACATCATTTACAAAGGAAGTTGAGGACTTCAGAATACTGCTAGTAATGGATGAGTACACTGTGCATGCTTCAAACATTTTAAAATTAAGTTTTATTTCAAGTGTCTCTTTTTACCCCACTCCCAGAGGTAATTCAGGATGGTTTTTATTTGCGTCTGGCGCCATACAAATAGCATATGGAATTTTTTGGAGATTGTTGTTTTATGAACTTGTTTATGAACTTATTGTTTATTTATGAACCTCTTTGTTTATTGTTTATAATAACAATACTCCATTGTTTATTGTTTACAAACTTCATGTTTATGAACTTATTGTTTATAACTTCTAACTTGTTTATGAAATCTTTCATCGTAAGAAGTTATTGACATACACTTCATCAATATTCAAATGATCTTTCAATGCCCAACTGCTGATTTGTTCTTTAACTTAGTTGCCAAATCTAACAGTGCCTGTTCACCTAAGCAAGTTGCTTTTCAAGAATTGGTGGCTTGCCAGGGCCCTTGAAGAAGAAGCTCCCACTTACTTGCAGAGTGAAAATAGGTCTCTCAAAACTGCAGTCACTGCCTGTTTGTAGTGTTGATGTTGTTGGAGTTCCCCGGTCTCCCTTTTACAATAGACCCCCTGTTTGTAGTGTAGTTGCTAAGAATAAAGCAACTGTTCGTAGTGTAGTTGCTTTCTCTCCTTTTTTTGTCAATGCTGCTCACATGCTGTCTTTCACATCAAAAGAATGGTCTTGCTGAATCAAATAGACCTGAAATTATGATTAATATATAAGAACAATCAGGTACATTACTAGGACACCATTGTAAATTTGCAATGTTTTTAAAAGTATGAAAATTGGAAAAAATTGAAGGGTTGTGGAAAAGGTTAACAGTAATCTTGAGAATGAACGAAATGAACTTTGCCTCTCAGGAAACAGAATATGCTTGCTTAGTATCACTCATAGAGTGGGAGAGCTGCAAGCAGACATCAAGCTAAAATTTAATATTAAACTCATGAATAAATATGATGTTGCAATTGAAATCAGTTATAATTTAGGTATGAGAATAAAATTTGACAGAAGGGATTTGGTGTGTTTAATCAGGTCAATGGAACTGGACTGAAAAAAAATACAATGAAGATGATATAGGCAGGAGTGACTACTTGGATGCAAAATATTGCTCATACTGTGTTCTTGTTGTAACTATTCTTGTTGGTGTAAACAGGCAACCTACTTAAAAATTAATGTTGTAGAAGGTCTCATTCATGCATTACTGAACACCAGATGACAAATTTTTGATCTAATAATGCTCTCCAAATTTCATAGCTTTTTAAACACTATTGTGAATTGTAGATAATGTTGTTGAATTTATTTTTCATGCATAATTAGACAGTCCTCTCTGACTGCTGGACATTTTTACTAGCTAATAATAGCTTGAATGATCAATTTAATTTCAGTCTCCCAAGTATCACCCCTGATGTTCAGGTGGTGGTGTCACAATTGCTTGTGGTACAGTTCTCCTGTGTTGCTACCACATATCCTGAGTTGCTACAACAACTTGGTATATGTCATGCACAATCCATTTTACTCTATCATAATACATGTTCAAATTAACTATGAATTGCAACTTTGGTTACCATTTTTTCTCATTTTTGCTTTGATAAATAATAGGTTTATCATTTATTTTGTAACAATATTTACTTTTTAATATATCAAAATATTATGGATGTCCCATTATGAAGAATTGAGTGCTTTTAATCTATTTTTCAATTAAAGTAGTATATTGTTTAGACTAACTACCTATGATATTTTCTTTGAGATGTTTGTATTTCCATTAGACCAAGTTGAAAAGTACAGCTATTATCAAGTTTTGTCTATTAATGATCAACAAGCAAATAATTTGTCCATGCAAGTAACTTTTTATGGGTAAATTTTGTGGCAAGTGTTGAAATTAATGCCTACCACTATCTTTTAAGCCTCTGTTTCACTTATTAAAAATCAATGAATTGTTGTTAATTTGATGCTTCACATGATAGATTTAAAAAAACTGCAATGCTTTGCAATTATCATCGCATGAGGTGATGGAGTCCAATACCAAAGAATGCAGTGTTCTGCTGCACCAACTCTCTGATGCTGCAGTCAGGAGTGGCAGATGCCCTGAGCAGAGCCTCACTCAAGCATCTCCTGGTGGCAGCAAAGTAAAGTCTGAAGGTTAGACAAATTCCATGTGCCACATTTATCAAATGCTACTATACAATTGAGCAGCTGAAGTTATGTCAATTTATTAGATTTAATATTTATCTGTAATACCTTTTTAGGAGATTCACTACAAGAACTGATAATATCATGTGGGATTTGGCAACTTAACAAGTCTCAACCATCTGAGGGATATGAATGTTCGTCTCAAGTTTGCATGATTCTTTAATTTGGTGAGCATTATATTTACTGTGAGATATCTTGCTCCACGGTTCAGTGATGCAAGAACATCAATCTGCTTATTTTCCAGCCTTGGAAATGGTTGGCCTTCCTCCAGCACCCAAAGTTTCTGTTGTCAAAGAGGAGCCTGAGGAAGAAATTGACGATGTGTCCATCAAAGAGGAACCATTTTCTTATGGACAAGAGGTAGATGGAGTCAAAAAACAAGTTGATGTTTTGCAAAGAATTTGATATTCCTGCATCGATTTTGATGAAAAAATTAGCAAAATGCCATTTCCATGTTTCAAAATTTATGCAGCGTCAAGTTAGGCATCAGGAGACAAGTTTTTATTTGGTATCAAGCCTGAAATATTGAGAAATTATAATTAGGCATGAAGCTACTTAATCTTGATTCAATAATTTGTAAGAAGTTTTGGAAAATTTAATTTTTGATTACTCTCATTAGGTTATATACTATGAATAACAGCTTGCAAATTTTAACTCCATAGTTGTCTATTTCCTCATAATAATGAATTGTTATGTCCTCCATTGGCACGAACCATGCCAATATCCAACTTCACTCATTCAAATACTTATTCTTTGCTCATAATGAATAAATAAGAATAAGATGTGAGAACTGCTAAGAATAATACTGGAGAACATGTCACCACAGCCTGAACATGTCACCACAGCCTGAACATGTCACTAGTCACTTGAGTGAATGTCATTTTTTACCTGTGTCGATTGACCTAATTTTTCAATCAAGTGATGCACCTCAATACAATGCAAATAAAGAGTTGCCTATAACATTTATCAATGCAAATTAAATCTAAAAAGAATTAAAAGTGTGCTCATGCTTTTGAAATTATCATTTGCATTTATATACCTATTTAATTTTATAATGGGCAAGTGAAATATTGTTACCATAGCCACATCACTGCAAGCCTCCTTAACATTGCCCTCCATGTCCCTAGGCTTCTCCAACTATAGATATCAGCCCTGCACCTGCACTCTCTTCTTGTGTGCTGTGCAAGACCGAAGCTCACGTTGAGGCTCACGACGCCAACACAAGCGCTCCTCAGGACATTCCTGCTCTGTTGTCAAATAAGGTACCTATTTATAAATATATTATATACATAGTTTCAGCTTTCCCCTGCAACACATTTTCAAGAGATTTTCCCAATTCCTTGAGCATGTTATATTTTCTTGTATGTATTTAAGTATAAAATAGTGTAGTTAATAAGACTGGTAGTGATACTTTGAACTGGTGCCATTTTCCCATGCATTCAAATTCTTGTGAAATCTGATAATCTTTGGTCATCAGAAATAGATGGCAAAACCTTAGCAAGGATAAAGTTCTTGAACAAGATATAAAATCCAGGCAGTGTACCTGGAATACTAAGGGAATGCGCTTTAACCTGTTGAACTAAATGTAACCTCCTCACTCTCCTCGTGTATCTGGGATTACTTGCAAAAAAGAATCCGATTGTAATCAACACAACACTGCATGGGAGCAATGGAACATTGATTGCTTGGGTTCCCAATAGTATTTCTTTTATGTTAACGCTGCCCAAGGTCTGCTTGAGTTAATGTAATGTTTGCACACATGGCAGGAGAAGCCCCACTTCATGAGGCCTTAAACTACCATCAACAAGAGAACAAAAATATGTATATAATGTTGAGTATTAGAGCAGTGAAACAAAATTTTAATTATCAGGCTCAAGGTAAGAGCAAGTTATTTCAACATGCTTATTTTGGAGAGACCAAGAGATGATGCTGCGTAATCTTGCATGACCCAAAACAAATTTTAAATTCTATGCACAAAATTTGTAAAGTTTTGACATAATTTTATATATCTGTTCAGACAACTATTGGATTTTGCTAAAAATAATGTGCTCTAAAAAAAAAACTTGAAAATGTCAAGTTCAGTTAAACTGTTATTGATAAGTGAGAATAATTTTGTTTTGCTCCTTTTACCATTAGTGCATTGCTGGTGGGTCAGCACCGGCATCGGGAGACGCTGCTGGTGTCACTGATGCCTCTGGAGCGTCCAGCTCCAAGCAGGGCACGAGGCTGGCGTCTTCCCTGCGTGGATTGGTGCCTGCAGGTGCAGGCAAAGTGCAGCAATGCATTTATGTGGCACAGCCTGCTTCAGTACCCCACCGCTGCTCTGCCTGTGAAAATACTTCAAGTTCAGAGAGGGGACTGCAGCAGAATATTAATGCAGTGCATTCTAAAGAAAAACTACAGTGCCCTGAGTGTGATTATAATTGTATCACAAAAGGGTCCTTGAAAAGGCATTTACATTGCAAGCACTCTACAGAAAAACCTATTCAGTGCTCCAAGTGTGATTATGCTTGCACCACAAAATGGGCCTTGAAAAGTCATTTGCTTCACAAGCACTCGACAGAAAGACATATTCAGTGCTCCAAGTGTGATTATGCTTGTATCACAAAAGGGAATTTGAAAAGACATTTTCTTCACAAGCATTCAACAGAAAGACCTATTCATTCTACAGAAAAACCTATTCAGTGCTCCAAGTGTGATTATGCTTGCATCTCAAAATGGGCCTTGAAAAGTCATTTGCTTCACAAGCACTCGACAGAAAGACATATTCAGTGCTCCAAGTGTGATTATGCTTGTACCACAAAAGGGAATTTGAAAAGACATTTTCTTCACAAGCATTCGTCAGAAAGACATATTCAGTGCTCCAAGTGTGATTATGCTTGCACCACAAAATGGGCCTTGAAAAGTCATTTGCTTCACAAGCATTCGACAGAAAGACATATTCGGTGCTCCAAGTGTGATTATGCTTGTACCAAAAAAGGGACATTGAAAAGACATTTTCTTCACAAGCATTCAACAGAAAGACCTATTCAGTGCTCTGATTGTGATTATGCTTGCAACACTAAAGATGCCTTGAAAAAACATTTTCTTTTTCGGCATTCAAAAGAAAAACCCATAAAATGCTCTGAGTGTGATTATGCTTGTGTCACAAAAGAGGTCTTGAAAAGTCATTTGCGTTACAAACATTCAGCAGAAAAACCTTTTCATTGTTCTGAGTGTGATTATGCTTGCATTACTAAAACTGCCTTGAAACTTCATTTTCTTTACCGTCATTCCCAAGAAAAACCCCTTCAATGTCCTGAGTGTGATTATGCTTGCGTTACAAAAGCGGTATTGAAAAGACATATTTCTAAAAAGCATTGAACAGAAAACCCATTCAGTGCTCGGAATGTGACTATGCTTGCATCAGAAAGGAAACATTCAAGCGGCATTTTCTTGACAGGCATTCATCTGAAAAAGCCCCTCCGATGCTCTGAGTGTGGTAATACTAATGTCAAAAACGCATGTTTGAACTGCATCTTCTCTCCATTCATCTACCAGAGAATTGTTTCAATAGCTTAAGTGTGAGGATACATTTGGATGCAAACTTTTTTCGTTCTTATTTGTGATAGAACAAATATTTCCTAAATTTTCAGTGTCTCATTCCCTCAATCATGAATTTATTCATTTTCAGTAGGTTCACTGTAGAAAAAATCTAGATAGAGGTAGTTCAAGAATGTGAATGTTTTTACTATGGTTGTTCAAATTACCGCTCTGCAGCAATGATGGACTGGTATTTGGGTAGAGCTTAAGACAGGAGAAAACTTGTTACTTAGAAAGTTTGCACATAGTTTGTTTCCTGCTTTCAGAGTACATACAATGATGTTCTCTAAACTCTTGAACTCTAAACTCTTCTCTTGAACTAGGAACTGTAATTGTGATCCATTGTTAGTTAATAAGCAGCTCTATTCATTAAATAATTCAACTCCAGGTACAGAATGATCATAGACTACTATTAGCTGCATCATAGTTTCTTTTGCTTAGTATATCAATATCACTGTGCTCCACAAATCCGAATCTTTGGCAAGACTATGTGGAAGTTACAACTTTTGAAACATGGTAATCGATATAGCCGGGAGAAAACTTTTCAGAATTTGTGTCCATAAAGGAATGAATAGCATCTGTGATTTTCTTTCTAAGTTCCTTATCATGGTCATTTCCTTATACATCACACCCACCATAACTCTCCTTGTTGAAGAACTAAGCAGATCATCGAAAAAGCTAAACTAATAAGTTTATCTGAACAGATACTAGAAATGTTAATAAAATTTATAAGAAGTTGGCCGTGAGATTTCAGAACGGATACAGGAGTATTCAAGCAGAGACTTGCTCAATAGGAAATCTTTGAATCTTGAAAGAAACAAAAACAGGGTTCACTTAGAAGGCATCAGAAGAGATCCAGGCTTTCAGGTAGATATTCACTGCAAACAAACATCGCGTAATATTTTTTATTCCAATAGTAAATTTTAATTACAATTATAAGTTCCATCTCTTGACTGCTTCTGTACAATATGCCTAATAGCTATATTGATGAAGATTACTTCATTGCTCTCCAGGTAGTAGCAATGTTTGAGTGAACTTGCTGACATCGAGCACAGAACAAGTATTCAACACCTAGACAATAGTCATTTCACTGGACAACTGAAAAGTTAAAAGTGACCTACAGCATCTATTTCGTTGTCTCGTATTCTCTGCGCTGTTGTCTGTGTCCTTCCCTAATGCCCTAACCAAATTTAGATGCTGGCCAGTTTCTACTGGTGCCGTCCGCGGCTCGGTCGAGCTGAAAATCAGCCTCCCCATTCACGCTTTAGTTATTATCTTCTAATTCCAAGTCAGAGCTGCGAGAGTCGCTCCTTGCTCTGTTGGTCGCTGGGCCACCAGAACAGGAACAATTGAAGTATAGGACAGTTGAGAAACTCGAGAGGATGGCAGGCACAATTGAAGTATAGGACAGCTGAGAAACTCAGGGGGATGGCAGGAACAATTGAAGTATAGGACAGTTGAGAAACTCAGGGGGATGGCAGGAACAATTGAAGTACAGGACAGTGAGGAACTTAGAGGAATGGCAGGAACAATTGAAGTATAGGACAGTTGAACTCAGGAGGAAGGCAGGAACAATTGAAGTATAGGACAGTTGAGAAACTCAGGGGGATGGCAGGAACAATTGAAGTATAGGACAGTTGAGGAACTCAGAGGGATGGCAGGAACAATTGAAGTATAGGACAGTTGAGGAACTCAAGAGGATGGCAGTAACAATTGAAGTATAGGACAGTTTAGGAACTCGAGGGGTAGGTAGGAACAATTGAAGTATAGGACAGTTTAGGAAGGCAGGAACAATTGAAGTATAGGACAGTTGAGGAACTCAAGAGAAAGGCAGGAACAATACAACAAAGTATAGGACAAAGGGTTCTTGAGGAACAAAGTATAGGACAGTTGAGGAACTCAAGAGCAAGGCAGGAACACTTGAAGTATAGGACAGTTGAGGAACCCAAGAGGATGACAGGAACACTTGAAGTATAGGACAGTTGTGGAACTCAAGAGGGTGGCAGGCACAATTTTGCCTGCCACCCTCTTTTGTGCTCATAACATATGTCTTTTGTATGTCTTTTGTCTTTTGTGCATAACATATGTCTTTTGTGCTCATAACAGTGGAGCAGGCTGGTGGCTCCAAATTGGTGAATACAGTGAATGTTTGATCTAAGGTTAGTTGATATGTTAGCGTTCATCGGTGCTCTCAAAAATGAGGTAAAAATCAATATAACGATCGATGGCGAAAAATTTATGAGTGTTTGAGAGGTGGGAGAAATAACGATGGTAAGATGATGTAATCTCATTTCAATCACTTATCAATGGCCAAACACGGCAGCCATTCCAGTGACAGCGCAAGCATCGATTTCGATGACGACTGAAATGCATGACGTCATCACTCCTCAGGAATGAACTGCAGGACTGAAGTGGCTGCTTGGCAGCTGACGGAGAGTTGTCGCTTGACAGGTGACAGAGAGTTGTCGCTTGACAGCTGACAGAGAGTTGTCGCTTGACAGGTGACAGAGAGTTGTCGCTTGACAGGTGACGGAGAGTTGCTGCTTGACAGGTGACGGAGAGTTGCTGTTTGACAGGTGACGGAGAGTTGCCGCTTGACAGATGACGTAGAGTTGCTGCTTGACAGGTGACGGTGACAAAAGAGGCGCGGTTATGTCTGCAGGGCACGCAGCATCAGCAGCTTTTACGCCTTCGTCAGGACCGCGACGTGCGGTTGCCAGGTTCTCTTCATGACTGCTGACGCCTTCGTCAGGACCGCGACGTGCGGTTGCCAGGTTCTCTTCATGACTGCTAACGCCTTCGTCAGGACCGCGACGTGCGGTTGCCAGGTTCTCTTCATGACTGCTGACGAGGGCTTGGGTGTCGGCCTGAGTGAGGCCCAGGAGGGCCCAGGAGGGCCTGAGTGAGGCCCAGGAGGGCCTGAGTGAGGCCCAGGAGGGCCTGAGTGAGGCCCAGGAGGGCCTGAGGCCCAGGAGGGCCTGAGTGAGCAGCTCTACTTGGGGCAGTTCGAGGTCGGCAGCGTCAGGAGGGCGGGTGTTGCAGGCACCGTTTAGGCCAATGCATTTGACCCGCTTAGGCCAATACATTTCAAACTAGTAATATAGTATATTTATAGTCCCTTGATAAGGTGTCAATAAACGCGGTGCTGGATCTTCAATGTTCACATTGTGATGCCTCTGTTAACAGCAACGGCATCAACCATCGCTATTCATAATCCCTTGATGCCTCTCTTAACATAAACTTTTTTGTTTATGTTAAGAGAGGCATCAAGGTTAAAGAGAGGCTTTGGTTAAACCGCGTCCACTCGATGCCATAAGCGAAGACGTCGAAAACAGCAACCGAACAGACGAGGGTTCAGTGGTTAAAAGACGCTGTTGTGAGGAAACAGGTGATGACTGTTGCAATGGTTGTCATAACCACCCACAGTTCAGCACCTTGGTTGTGGTGCACGAGAAGTGGTTGCTGGACAGCATTCAGTTCTACCAGGTACAACCATACCAGAACTACCAAGTGGCTGCTGTTGAAGATCTCAAGCGCAGTCTCCACCAAGAAATTCAGGATAATTTGAATTAGAACTTGCCTGTAAAGAACACAAGAAATGTGATCAAAATAATCAGTAATTTTGGACAATATTTTTCGCCATTTGGACAATAATCTCTATCCAAATAGCGATGCACTTTTACCCCTTGAATGAGCGATTAATTTTGACGCAGTTTGACTCAGAAAAGGACGTATCTGTGCAACGTATAAAAAGCCACTTTTGGGACAGTATTAACGTAACATCCCATTATAAAGCCCCATCCATCTCATTATTTATTCCAGTGCATTTATTTTATTTTATTGCGCCCCACGTTTTTCGTTTTAGATGTAAAATATTTTAACTGAAATACAAAAGACCAAGAGAATGAAAGCAAACAGAGATCAGTAGCTGCCGAAAAATTATTTTCTACTTTTAGTCCACATGAAAAACGTGGTCTTTAAAAATTTTTTTTATACATTTTATTATTATTTAGTTATTACTTTGTAAGAAATGATGTTAGTTTTTAGCGCTAGTCGATTTTTTTCTATCACCGAAACACTCCTTCATGTTCTTTGTACCCATCCTACGGCCCTCTGCAGCATCCGTCAAAATGCTCAATCCTACTGAAAATTGCGCATTTGTATGACATTGAGCTTACATTTTATTTTAGCTGATTATCAAACCTCGCTAATGAATAGTCCTCTGTGCAATGGATAGGCCTTTGTATAATGGATAGGCCTTTGTATAATGGATAAGCCTTTGTATAATGGAAAGGCCTTTGTATAATTGATGGACCTTTGTATAATGGTAATAGACCTTTGACTTATCGTAATGACAGCAGTATGAAACCCTTCAGCATTAGAACGATTGAGTATTCAATTTTACCGAAATGTCTGCTCGTCTTCTTTGCCATATGTTGCCCAATTGCTCAATACGCTTTCATGACAACAAACTAAGCTGTGATTGGCGCTTAATAATATCTCTAAGGTGAATGTGATTGGCTCTGAAAAAAGTCAAGATTGACCATGATTAGCTTGCAAAAATATGTTAGGTTAACTGTTATTAGCTGTGATTTTGGCTCTCTAAATGGATGAAGCTTGTCTGTGACCGGCTCACAAAAATACAAGTTTGTCTGTGATTGACTTTCTAAATTACGTCAAGGTTAACTTTGATTGGCTCTTAAAATACTTCGAGATTTATTGTGATTGGGTCTCGAAGTGCGTCAAGATTGATTGTGACTGGCTCTCATAATACGTTGAGCTTGAGTGTAATTGGCTTTCTCTCTACATACGTTAAGTTTGTCTGTAGTTTGCTCTCAAAACGTCAAGATTAGCAGTGATTGGCTTTCAAAATATGTCAAGTTTGTCTATGATTGGGTCTGAAAATGCGACAAGTTGGTTTGTTATTGGACTCAAAATGCGTCAGGATTAAGTGTGATTGAGTCTCAACATCCGTTACAGTTTGTCTGTAATTGACTTTCAAAATGCGTCAAGTTTGTTCAAAACACGCCAAGTTTGTCTGTGATTGTATCAGAATAAAGACAGGAGTTCATCTCATTTTGCTTTCAATGTGTGCATTTGCTGGAGTTCTTGTGATGCTCGCCTCTACTGACGCTGTCCTTGAACTGGAACGCTTTGCCCTCAGACGGACCTGCAACTCGTCCCTCGGTTCGCTGTGCCCTCGGTTCGCCCATTATTAAATTGCAGTGTCGCTATGTTTAACGGCTAAAATGAAAAATAACTTTTTAGTGTGTATAGCATTGCAACTACTTTTCCGAAAACTGGCCAGTTTGGTGCTCTGCTTCGAGTCATATTATGTAAAGTATTTAGCTAATTTCTGCTGTATTTACTGATGACTTTGAACAATATTATTTTTCACTGTCTTTCTTATTTGATGTTCTTAATTTAGTCATGTTTTTCTTAACTTCAGTATTTTACAGTTTATTTACTGTCCTCGTGTTTGTTGGATGATGTATCCGCACCCTTAAGTTTAAAGGGAATATACTGTTATTATTCATAGGTACCCTTTTACGTTCTACGTTCGTTATTAAACTGCGAGGAATTCTTCTATCCGATTTACTGTTAGAAATTCGCTCATTGCAGATATTAGCGCGGGATGATTCGACGCTGAGCGTCGTAATCCCTTTCCTAGCTTAAGCCTAATATTGCAATGTTTTTTGGTGAAAAGACTTAATTTCAAAAATCATGGCAGTGTTCTGGACCACATTTCTCCACCAATGTAGTACATCATTGCGTTTTACTGATGCAAGAACGCGGACGGTTTTGTCCAGCTTCTGGCGGGTGAAGTTTTCTGTTGACCTCCTATATATATGTGCCTTGTCGGTTGAAACTCTTACACTGCATTCTTTCCGAGTAGATAATTTAATTTTCTTCCTTAAAAGCGTAATGAGAAAGACTGAAAGCAATGTATAATAAGGTTTCTTTGACACCACTGTTATAGGTATCGTTTTATAGTATTGACTCCGTTATACCGACATCGTCTGAACGTTTTCGTCCTATTCTACGGTCATTGTCCTAACTGTAAGTTTGACAGATGTTATTATTATTGTCATGGAATATGGTGTGTTACCCACGTAATGGATGTGTCCGTCCACGCAATCACATACCGTATGTCATATTGATGTGACCACAAGAGGTTACGCCTCTACGTACATCTGATAGCAACAAAGGTACTTTCAAATTTATATGCGTTCGTAGGATGTATACCTCAGCAACAACCAGCGCGAAGACAAGGCAGCCGAACTCCAGAAGTGTATACCTTCACGCAACGCTGAATTTGACGCGACTCCCTCAAGCGGATCACATTCACGACCCGATTTTGACATTTCCGAATTTCGTAATGCGGTGACGGGAAATTCGTTTGAAGGCTTCAAGAGAAGCAGCCAGGCGAGTGTCAAAGGTTGGGATAATCAGTGCATAAATTTAAAAAAAATCCCTGATATGGGATCTAAAGTAGCATCACCCGATATCACGACTACTTGGGATATAATTTAAGTTGTGGTTATCATCTCTCTAAATAGTAAATCTTGCATCGTTATTCGATGCACATCATTGGGTCATACCAGCCTGCCTTGTATTAAATAATAGTTCAATACATAATATATCCGTGGTAATTTCTGCAACAAATTCTTTAGTCGATTTCGCACATACGTATGAGATGTTCATTTTTTTACAAAGCCTTGCGAATTTTAACCCGGCCTTGGAGTAAATAAGCTCATCTCAACATTGATTGAATGAAATAGTCGACTATTAGCCATAAGGTGCCTTTACAGGCGTATATAGTAAATAATGAAAATTATTGGGCAATGTGACTTTAGTCAAGATTGACTGATGGAATGGAATGTAGGATTCAACCCAGGGCAGTCGTATAAAGGGTAAACATGATTTTTGAAGTTCATGTGATGAATGGCGGTAAACCTAATAGGTTGGGAACTAATAGATTGATAGTCAGATACAAATTCATATGAATACGGAACGTATGGTGATAAATCAGGTCAACGATGAAAAGAAAAAAAATGCGCTTCACTGGTGCTTGGAGATCACATTGTGAACTTGGTCGATCAAGTTATTTTAAATTTTTCAATACGTGAGCGCCGGTTTGCGGTTTCCAAATGTCTGGCTGATGCGATTTGTTGATAATTTTTAATCTAGCGGTTATCACTTGGCCGAGAAATTCAGTAGTAAGGCTTGCATTGCACGCGGGTCTCAACTATTCTCTTTATCAAAAGAAGGTTTCATGCAGCTACGTATATTCAAATTTATGACGTACTTTTGCACGGCATATTTTATGATCTTTAAGCATGCCTGCAAAACATGATTTTATAATAAGAACTGAATCCCAGCCATGCAGCTGTCCATCAAGTGTGCTACCAAACTTGAAGTTCATGAGCGAATACAATTAACTGTATTAAACTGTCTGAGCGAATACAATTAAAAAAAAATAAGTATATAGCTTCAAGCAATGTGGGAGTTGCGATGGAAATTACAGACGTATAGGGCAACATGGGGCAGCGCACCCCCCCCTTTTTTAAACTAAATTTTTGATGAAGTTTTAATTGAAACGAGGTGGTTCTTTGTTTTGTTTAAATGTACAACTAATGAGGAATGTATGATGTGAATTGGGCGCCTATAGAGTAATTCAATTTTTAATGAAACACTATTCTGTAATAAGTGTCAAAATGGGCCCGTTGCCCCACCCCTGGGGCAATGGGCCCATGGGCTAGAGGCAAGGCGCCCACCCTTGGTCCTTTTACCGCAATTGCATAATTTTTGTTTAAAAATGATAAAACAACACTTTACAATTAAAAATAAGAAAAAATATATTAGAAAATATGACATTCATTCATTTATTAACAACTCAAAAAATCATATCCTTACCATGAAAAAATATACCCTTGGCTTAAAAAATCTATCACTGACGTGAAGAAAAATATTTCATTAACATAAAAATATATATCCTTGACTTGAAAAATATATCCTTGCGATAAAAAATTGGTCCTGACATGAACAAAATGTATTCTTGACTAGAAAAAAATATATTTAGTTGATCAGAAAAAACTTCGTTCCAGTTTTGCCCATAATCCAGATATAATGTGCAGAGAATTCGTACCTAATCGTGATTTCAGCTAACATCATAAAAACTCATCAACTTTTGGCTCATTGGTGTTGACTGAAATCAACTTTTGGCAAGGCAAGAGTCAATAACTCGATAAGGGGTCATCTAATGGTAAGGGGTCTCGATAAGAGGTCATCTAAACAAATCTAATGATGTATAACACAAGACTTCCCCATGGGCGCTTTGCCCCGTGACACGCGTGGGCCCGTTGCCCCCACTAGGTATCATTTCAATTTTTATCGTGTCAACATTTTATTTTAAAAGCGAATAGTCTAAACTTGATCTCAAAATTATCCATATACATATTACTTTCAAAATATAATTCACAGTAATTTCAAAAGCTCCAACTACAGTAATCGATAACAGTTTTATTTAGCAGCAAAAAAAAACTTTATCTGGGCTGAAACAGTTATCCACA